CGGGGGGCGGGGGCGCGAAGGGTGAGGAGATAAGGAGGGGAAGGAAGAGCGCCCTCCTGAGGCCGCGCACCCTGTAGTGGCCGTTCGTCCCGGTGCCCGGCCTCTCCAGGCCGCCCAGCATGGCCAGCCGCCGGCGCTCGTCGATGCTGATGCTCCAGTGGCGGCTCGGGCGCCGGAGCTCCGGCTGCTCGCTCACCTGCGGAGACAGGGCAGACGGTCTGGCGCCGGCCAGGCCTCTGGGTGCAAGCTGCCCGCGCCCGCCCCCATTTGGCTCAAGCTCCCGGCAGGGCTGCAGGGCGCTCGCTGGCTCTGGTCCTGAGGCTTCGCACCGTGGCTCTGGGCCCCAGGGCGAGGGGCTCAGGTCTTCGTTTCCCAAGCAGCGTCTGCCAGCACTATGGGACTGCGGGGGGTGTCGGGTCGCCGCGGGGCCTCCGCCCCGCGGCCCCCGCCCTCCCGCGCCGCGGGTCGGCTCCCTCTAGGGCCCTTGGTCCTTAGAGCGGAGATGGCGGCTCCCACTCGGGGGACAGAGTGACAAGGGGCTTTGGTGCAGAGCGTGTCAGCAGGCAGGGCTCGCAGTTCACCTCCCCTCCTAAGCCCTTTCTGAAATGACCATGAGAGATTTAAGGGGGGAAAGTAAGGGTCATGGAGCCGTAAAACAGAAGAACAGGCGATGGACAGCCGTGGAGGACAACTGCTAACCTCAGGGTTCTGGAACGCAGCGAGAGGAGGGAGGCGGCTTGAGGGGAAGGCTGACAGGGGCTGCACCCCAGGGCCCTGCCCGTAGGTGCAGTTTCCACAGTGGCTGTCTGTGAAAGACCCTTACAGCACTGTCTCTTCCCAGCCAGGAGGCCATCGTGCCACCTCCCCTGCGGACGACAGAAGGTCACTCTGTGGAGTGTTGGGGGGCAGGGTCCAATGCTGAAAATAGGGGATTAAGAGCGACACCAAGTGAAATCCCCATCTCTTTACCCCACCCTGCACCAGCAGAATGGCAGCCTGGTTCATTTTCCCACCCCTGAAGAGAGGCGAAGGCTCCTTCTGGGAAAAATGACCAACCCAAAAGAAAAGCCTAAAGACCCTGACAGCTGGGCTGCCCAATTGTGCCACCAGGCACCCGAGCACACACACAGCTCAACCCGTGCACAAAGGGCTTTCAGTCGGCCACCCATCACCTCACTCTCCAACAGATCAAGAGCCAAACCTCCAGCTTCTGAGAACCTCTGCTTCAAGCAGCAGCAGTTCAAACAATGAGAAGTAAGAGAAACTCGAAAGAGCAGAATTACTGGCAGCAGAAGAAAGCATGCCATAATTTATTCTCATACTTAAGACAGAGTGATGAAACAACAGGGTGATAGGAAAAGTTCAAAGAACAACAATGAACTGAGTTTTTATAATGTACCTGCGGTGTAGTAAATTACTTAGTGTGGCTTTTCTACCCATAAGTCTTTGTAAACTCCAAGGTGGGATTTTGTATGAGCAACTGAGCAGCCCCTGATTGCTGAAGCTATCCACCTGGGTTATTTCTGTTGGGAGTGGCACAATACAATGTTCTGGGAGGTGCCCACTCTCTCTCACGTGCTTAGAGTTCTGATGCTGTGATTGGCTAGTTTGACCACCCTTCCGGGCTCAAAGGAGGCGTCCTGGAGGCAGAACTCTCTCTCTGACTGCTGGTTGAGGAAGATGGGCTGCTGAAAGAGACACGCGCTCCGGAAAGAGACACATGCTGCTGGGAAAAAGGCACAAGAGACACGCATTGCTGAGTGAGACACCAAGGGACCAGCACTGCTGGGCAAGAGACTGTGAGAGACTGTTGGCCGAGGGATGGTGGGCTGGGAGAGAGACTGAGCATTTTTCTTGAACTTGAGTTGTAGCCTGGTGCTTCCCTAATAAACCTCATAATCTGTGAGTTGTGTGTGGCCACTGCAGTGAATTATCGAACCCAGGAGAGAGGTGGTGGGTGCTCTGGGAGGAACGGTTGGTGAAAGGGCTGGAGGGAGGCAGCATGTCTGGCCTTGCAGTAATAGGCCTTGGTTTACTACTGGTAATCCTGTCTTCCTCTTGTGGGATTAGAGGAGGTTGGAGCTTGTGGCCTCCTTGTAGTTTTTGTAGTACCTAAGGAATGTAACCAGTGCCACTGGATTGTTTATGTAGAAGTGGTTGGATTGTTGTGTTTTTGCTGTGTAAATTCTCAACCACAAAATAAAATAATATCAGAATTAATAATGCAATAGATGGTGTGGTAGTTAAGGTGCTGTGTCAACCTGGCAAGGGTGTGCTTCTGAGTGGCTTGGCAGCTGGATATAGTTCTTCCCTGTGATAAGACTAATCACCTCCATGGTGTAATCTTCTCTGAGCACCTAAGCAGTTCAAGGGGCATTCCCTTTGGAGTGCAGCCTGTTTCCAGTATACATGGAGCAGCTTGGGGAAAGGCCTCTAGCTTTTTGGTACATGTTGGGCCATGTTGCCTGCCAATCTTGGGACTGTTCCTAGACTTGAACGAGTGGCTGGCCATGTGACCTGCTGATCTTGGGATCATGCCATTTTACCTGCTGACCTTGAGTCTGTCAGCCTCAGCAACCAGCAGCTGTGTGAGTTAAAAGACACCTCCAGCTCCACCGGGCCTAGAACAAGAGGCAGAGCTGAGCCCAAGGTCGAGGAGTCTTTACCCAACCCCTAAAGCCAGCACTCTGAATTTAGACGTCTAGACTCCAAAACTGTAAGTGAATAAATTCCTGTCTGTTAAAGCCACCCACTTGGGGTATTTCTGTTATAGCAGCACTAGAGAGCCAAGACAGATGAGGAGGCAGATCTTTGCTCCTAATTCATAACCATCCTCTGTAACAGGATTGTACATGCCCCTTTAACATGTGACTCCACAATGTCTCCCACTAGAGTCTACTTTCCTACTCAGTTGATGTTGGCTTCTAATGTAGAAAGATGGGCACCAAGGTGGATGGAATCTCACAGAAAGCTGAGAGATAGAAAACTGGTCAGAAGACATGAGAAGACTAGAGAATAAATCCTGCAGGTTCAACATCCAACTAAGGAAATTTCAGAAAGAGAACAGAGAAAATGAAGAAGGGAAAATGGTCAAATACACACTCCTCCAAAGAAGAAGTCAGCCAGCCTCCAGATGAAAGTGCCGAGATAGAGATACAGATACAGGTGTACACACAATGAAAGGAAGCAATCACCAGAGCACGTTACTGTGACATTTCAGAACATCACCAAGAGGACGACGATCCTAAAAACTCTCAGAGAAAACAACAAAGCACATAAAAAGGATCAGGAATCTGAATCGTCTTGGGCTTCATAATGCAGCAACACTGGAAGCTAGAAGGCAATGAACAATGCCTTAAAAATCCAGGAAAACGGTTTTTTACTATCTAGAATTCTGCACCCAGCCAAAGTACTATTCAAGTGTGAAGGTAGTGGAAAGGTATTTTCATACACATATGGTTCTCAGGAATTTTAACCTCCTCGGGACGTTTTCTAAGGAAGCTGCTAGAGGATGTGTTCTAGCAAAACAAGGGAGTAAACCAAGAAATAGGAAGACTTAGGGTGCAGGAAACAGGGTCCTGCAGAGAAGAGAGAGCGAGTGAGAAGGAAGATTACAGGACAAAGGTGTGTGACAGCCCAGGTCAGCAGAAGCAGGAAGACAAGGGCTCCAAGAAGGCTCTTGCCATGAAAAATAGGGAGCTCAAGGACCACCACCTGATGGGTTTGGTCATATTGTGCAAGGAGTGTCACAGTTTTGTTGGAAAGTTTGGGAAAGAGTGAAAAATCAGTTCATATTAAAGCAAGGAAATAAATAAGGCATTGGTACCTGCAGAGAAAGACAAAAGGTTGTGCAAGAAAAGAAATACCATCCTGTGTGCTCCATATTTTAGCTACAGACAGTATTTACACTGTCACCATAAAGCAAATGCTGGAAGTGCATTTAGGCAAAAAGTATGACATAATGCAAATGAAGGATGGGGAAAGAGAAGAGAACTGTGTGTGGCTGAAGGGCTGATGTAGGAGTGATAAATCCTCACTTTCACTTACTTAGAAATGCACCGCAAGAGGATGACACATCAAAACCTGTGACAGGTGGCCAAAGCTGTCCTCTCAAGGAAATCAATAGAAAAAAAATCTAAACTTGATAAATTAAAAAATTGAAGAATAAGCATATTATTTTAAATGTACAGCAGAAACAACTAAAAAAGTTGGTGATTTAATAGACATACGTAGAGAAGCCGTGTTCCTACTAGCAAGCACACCAAACATCTGAACAAATCGGCATGCTGTTGTTCAGTGACATCAAGTGAGTTGTGACTCACAGTGACTGCACAGATGGCAGAATGGAACACTGCCCACTACTGGCCATCCTCATGCTCATCGCTATGTTCGAGCCCATTGCTGTAGCATCTTGTTGGGGGTTTTCCTCTTTTTTGCTGACCCTCTGCTTGACCAAGCTTGGTGTCCTTGCCCAGAGACTGGTCCCTCCTGACAATGTGTCTGAAGTAAAAGGAAGATGAAGCCTCACCATCTAGCCTTCTAAGGAGTATCTTAGCTGCACTTCCTCCAAGACAGATTTGTTCCATGCATTGACCGTGCACCTGGCCAAAATCCAGAATCCCTGACAGAACAAAGATGGCCACAGTCTGCAACTATAATATAATCAAATTAGAAACTAATGAACAAAAGGACAACAGAATGCTTCCAGTACCATGGACATCCCAAAACATCCTTCTGATTATCCTAGGAGAAAGAGAAAATCAAGAATGAAAAGCCAATTTATTTAGAAATGCACCGCAAGAGGATGACACATCAAAACCTGTGACAGGTGGCCAAAGCTGTCCTCTCAAGACAGTATACAGAAGAGCAGCATTGAAAAAAAGTACAAAAAAAGTCACTAAGCAAATAACTCAAGAAGCTAGAAAAAGAATATCTAAAGTTTCACTGAAATTGAAAGAAAGCATTAGGAAAGATTATGAAATAAATCTTTTGGGGAGCTCTGGTGGCATAGAGCCTAAGGCATTTGACTGCTAACCAGAAAGCTGGTGGTTCAAATTCACCAGCCACTCCTCAGAACGAAGACTGGGCAATCTACTCCCATAGTGATACCACCTCGGAAACCCAAGGAGTGGTCCTATGAGTCAGAGTCGACTCGATAGCAGTGAGTTTGGTTTTTGGTTTTTGGTATGAAATAAA